CCAATTCCTATGAACATTCAGGTTCCCCAGCTACCAGCCAACACCAACGCCAGCCAGATGGCTAAAGGCCAGCGTCAGAACACACTCAACAAGGGCCAGGGCACTACAGTGCCAGCAGACCCCAGCTGTCCTAGCAGAGCAAGCCCTGGATATCCTAACATGGACAAAGCACAGAAGGATGACCTTAAATCCAACCACAGCAGAAATGATACAAACATCAGCACACAAAAATGCTCTACTTATGGAATATGCTTGGTGGGAAATGTGGAATCTGGTTGGGCTTGTCTGTTGACTGATATGCATTAAGTTTGTGATTTGTGGACATGGAGGACTAAGACTGGGCAACCAGTTTTAAAGACATAGCAGAAGAGGGCCCACACAGGAGGCCGACTTAGTTGTGCGGACTTAGTTGTGTGAACTACTCCTAACACTTTCCAGCACAGGGGTGAACCTGAGACAGACTCCTCATAGGGAAGACGTACTTTGCTCAGGACCTTCGCTTTCCCACTGTTGGCTAGTGATAAACCAAGCCTTCTCTTCTGTGGTTAAAATGGCAGGCAAGTCTCCTACACCAGCAAGAAAGGAAGACAGCTATCTGTTCCTTCTGTGAGGGAATCAGCCAATCACAGCAGGTTCCTAAAATTCCAGTTCATCATGGTTTTGCAGTAGGAATCCAAGAAATGTTTCCTGAAAGGACATGTTAACTACATCATAGAAGTACATGAGAGGAATAGCCAGGGAGGAGGGGCAAAGGTGACTCCATTTCCACTGCAGACCATAATAAGCTCCAGCATAAGGCCTCATTGTCCAAGCCCTGATTTATCAGTTGGGTTATGGTATGTAATGTGAGAAGGAACATGAGGAAATCTTTTCTCTCAGAAGATCCCACTCACCATCATGAACACAAAGTAGATGGTCACCAGCCGTGCTCGCACAGGTGAGGCTTTCTCCCCTGTGTGTACAGACAGTGACAGGGAGCTGGCAGAATAAGTCAGCAGCATGACGGTGAGCATTATAGCGAAGAAGCCCTTCACACTTGCTATTACTCCTTAGAGAGAAAAGAAGTGTGTCAGCCCGGCAGCCAGGTCAAAGGAATTGTACAGGTTTCAGACAACGCTTTCATCATTAGAGGGACTCGTGAGAGCTTCACAGCTAGTGGACTACTGTGCGTCTCCAGTGTCATTATTTCCTTCCATGTGACTGCATAAGACCTGTTCTCCTTCATACATGATTGATGACATTCTGACTAGGAGAACTGCAGGTACTCAACTGGCCAAAATCCTACCACCTTCTCCCATTGGGGAATCATTAGTTCAAAACGCTCATGTGCACATTCTCCTGTGATTACTCTAATTTCACTAGTCATAAAAGTGGGATGAGGACTGCGCCATTTTGGTCACTTTAGCACAAGCTAGGGTCACAAGGAAAGAGGTAGCCTCCTCAGGAGAATGCTTCTGCCAGACTGTGAGGTCTCAGATGGGTGTGGGAGCGCCCACACTGGGCATGAGGCCCTGGGTTAAGTGAGAAAGCAGGCCAAGGGAGCCATGGTAGCCAGCAGGCAGGCAGCAACCTCCACGGCCTGTGCTCCCTTCCTGCCTCCAGACTCCTGCCCTGACTTCCCTTCCTGACATGCTGTGAGTTCACTACAGTGAGTTAAACAACCACAGGGTGGTTTTAGCCTTAGAGGACAGAGGCACCCCCACCTCAGTTTCCCCAGAAAATCACCACAGAACTGCTGTGGAGGAGGGCAGCAGGCCTCCTGGGCTGATGTGTAGCCTGTGTGGAGCGGAAACTCAGAGTCACACATAGTCATGTGTTTCTGTTACAGTCACAAGCAAGCAGGGTACAGACTGGGAAGCTGAGTTCCCAGTTGCTCAAAAATGTCATTAATGTTGTTATTGTGTGCATAATGCATGAGTGTGTATGGGTGTGTGTGTGTAATGGTGTGCACATGTCATGAGGCACACACAGGATTGAAGGGCAACTTCCTGGAGTGACTGTCTCTTCCACTGTGGATTCTGAGCCTCACACTCAGGGTGTCAACTTCCAGGACAAGCTCATTTACCCATAAGCTGTGCTGGGAACGAAGACTGATCCTGGGAGATAAATCTCTTCTAACACCAAGTCTAAGCTTTATGAGCACTTGTTTTTCATAGGTGTGCCTGTGTGCATGTGTGTGTACACATGGGTGTGAAAGGTATGGAAATTCTTGAGTCTAGGATGAAGCCAAATCGTAGTGCACAAATGAATCTGTGTGTATAGTTTAAGCGATGGTTTATATTATATAATTTCAATGAATCATTATTCAGTGTCCTCTCTCTTTGTAAGATGGCAGCATAGGACACTGTATACATTAGGAGTTTTACACACATACACATATTTGTGAGATATTATCCACTTTGTGTACTTTATTTCCATGTAGACACACTTACGCATGAACCCGGAGGAAGCACACAGCTGAGACGTGGCTCAGTGTTTAAGAGCAGCCCAGGGTTTATTTCACAGGAGCACACAGTGGCTCCTTCTCCTGTAACTCCCCTTCCACACGCCACATCCTGTTCTGGCCTCCATTCAGTTAGTGGATGCGTGTGTGCACACAGACCACACTCAGGCAAACACGCAAATGAAAGAAAAAGCTTTACAACACAAGGGGATAGCTATTTAGTAAATGATTTTGCTCTCTTGGCACTGCCTGAAGTGTGAGTTATTCCTACACTCATTATAACACACTCAGTAACTTAGTGAAACCACAGTCTCATTAACAACTTTTGGTGTTCCTTTTGAACAAGTCTTGGAGCCTCTCCTCAGGCTGACCACCTGCTTTGGCCAGCACAGGGTGGAGACATGCTTTTCTACTTGAAGGCTTGCCACAGTTGTACAGACCACAGCACACTCCTAACAGACACAAGACCTGCTCTCCGGTTTGTTCCTTACCTGCTATGCTGTATGTTATAGGAGTAATGAGAAGAATTGGCAGTAACCGCCTGGGTCCCAGCTCTGCCAGCAGCTTCCCAAGGAAGTACGGCAGCACTCCGTAGTACCCACTGGTGTGCTCGTGTCTGCAGAAACAACAGGACCCGTCACACATCCCTAGATTAGTGCAATGCCATGGACCAGCCCAGCCAGGGACCCCAACCGCGGGGAATCAGAGGTTCGGATATCAGGTTAGACACAGGTAGGCGAATTGACTGACAGTCAGAGACCACACCAAGTAGTGTTTTGAATCTGCTGCATTTTACTAAAGTCAAGCTAACACTTACATAGTGAATACATAAAGAAGTACCCTGAAGGTGACATACTTCCCGGAACATTCAGACTTTTACCAACAATACAAAGTTTACATTTTAACTGAAAGGGCAACCTGATATAAAGCAGTGTCTACAAAAAATCTTGGCCTAAAAGCTCTTAATCAAAACAAATACAAAACTTTAAACTATTTACGCAGTTCTATTACTGCTAATTAGTGAGGAAAAGGCCAGGAGCTGTCATTGCCCTCTGAGCCAAGTCGGCTAAAGATTTACAACCCTCCCTAGAGATAAACTGAGGGAAATTCCTCCTGTTGGTCTTGCTAAGGATTTACAATCTTCCTTTAGAGATAGGATGCTTGAGCTAAAACTCATACTATAATATAAAACCTTCAGACCTCCTATGTTTCCCTATCTTCTTTCTGCAACATCATACATACCTGTGTTAGGTAATGGTTTTGTAGTAGCTTTACTGCAGTGGGAATACCCAGAGCATTTATCCTAACAGATCCTGATTAAATATTTTCTTTAGAAAGCCCTAAAACTCTTGTCCCTTTATTACCTACAATGTTTGGTTTTTCCACAAGCAACTCCTGATGCTGAATCTGATTTACCTCTCCTAAAATTTTATTTTCCTTCCACTTTTATTTGCTAAAGCTTTTAGTAATCTATCAAAAATGTATTTCCTTGAATAGTTAACTGTGCTGTTTCAAGAATCATAGAGAAACAGTAAAAAAAGCTCATCAATCCAACCCTGCAACCGAGGAAGCATGGGACTCTCAGAATACCTCTTTTTGGCTTAGGTGGCCATGTTAGGGTTTTTTGCCAGTGGCCTCCAGAGAGCTTATTTCTGAAGAAAGGTATCTCCCATCTAGTAGCACAATCTATTGATATGCAACACTGACGAAGCTGGAGAGGGTGTAGCAGTGCAGAAGGCACAGGTGAGATGCTGGCTACACTGACATCTGCTATCACTGGAGCTGACAGGACAGTGTCCCCTGTGCTCCTGGCTGACTCCTGTATGCCCACATCTTAGAGACCAGCTTCCCCTGTGCTCCCATCGTTTCCCCACACACCCCATCTTAACGACCAGCACCCCCAGGCCACCACCCTCAGGACATCTCACTATGACTCCCCATCAGAGAATTCTCCCATCGTCCACTCTGGCACAGAGCAGCCCCTGTAGGGAAACAGGCCACTGTCCCCACTCTCCTCAGACTCTGCTTCCTGAGGAGCAGCACTCAGCACCCCACCTCAGACTGTGCTCACAGAGACTCCTATCCGGCCCCTTCTTAGGGAGAAGGTGACACTGCCACTCTGAGGTCACTGTGCAGCACTATGCCACCACATCCTTCTCTTCTGCATCTCTCACTGGAGAGACTTCTTCCTCCAATAATCTCACTCTACACAGGACCCCTTACCAGCTACATCACCTGTTCCTGTCCTCCCAGCATCTTTCTCTAAGCCATTCCAAACTCCAAGATCTTCCCACTCAGTGTCTTTATTCTCTCTCTATCTTTCTCTTTCTGAGAAAGGACTGCTAGTGCAGGCTGGCCTCAAACTCCACATGTAGGCAAGAATGACCATCCTTCTGTCCCTGTCCCCATGACCTGAGAGCCAGGGAACACCAGCCATACTAAAGCTTATGTGGAACTGTGAATCTAACCCAGGGCTTCAAGCACTCTGCCAACTGAGCTATGCCCTCAGCTACTTTCTGAGGACTCATTTTCTTGGAGTACTTGTGTCTTTGAAGCAGTAAATCCTAAGCACAGGCAAGCAGGGGAGGGTGTCCCATGTTTGAAAGCCCAGGCATAAACAGCCCTCTGCTGCATAGCTGCCTCTGGCTCTGCACAGCTGCCCTCTGGCTCTTCACAGCTGCCCCTGACTCTGCCCACCTGGCCCCTGGCTATACCCAGCCGCCCCTGGCTCTGCACAGCTGCCCCTGGCTCTGCCCAGCCCTTTATCCTAGAGGGTTACTCTCCTGCCTCCGGGAAGCTTTGCCTCCCCAATTCCCATTTGCTGCTAAACCGAGGACACATAAGCTCCATCAAGCCCCTGACATATTTTGGGGGGTTCAGGAGTGAACTGTGATTTTCCACCCCCTACTGCTGCTTTGTCTGCAGCACTGAGGTCTGAGGACATCAACCCTAATCTAAAATTTTCACGGAGCTGCAGAAAACTCTGCTCATGATTTCCCATCCATTTTTCCAGGTATCATTAGTAATCTCTTTCCACCCTGCAAAACACATGGTGAACACCAAATTTCATAACTTGTCTAGTTTTGAAATAAAAAAGGACAAAAGGAAAAATATGGTAATTCCTGATGTCACACTCTAGGCCCATCTCCAAGTGTGATCACCTTGATGAGGAACAGCTGAGTCCTGTGGAAGGACGGGCTACTCACAGAAAGCGATCCCTGTCAATCACAAAGATCTCCCCTGCAGATATGCCGGTGATACACTGGAAGCCTGTGAGCAGGAAAAGCAGGCCGGCCCTGCAGGAGACAATGGAGGCAAAAGCAAACCGCAAGTTCAAAGTTAGCACAGTTTCTTCCCACCCGAGCTTGTTCCGCAGAATAAATGACATCACACAGATTTTTGTTGAAAGTAAAATAAAATAAAAGCAGGACTGGAGAGACAACTCCCCAGGAAAGAGTGCTGGTGGCTCTAGCAAAGGCCCCAGGTTTGGTGCAGACATCCAGGCTGTGGATCACAACCATGTATGGCAGGAGTTCTGGGATCCTGTGCTAGGGAGTTTTATGTCGACTTGACAGAAGCCAGAATTATCTGAGAGCAGAGAACCTCAACTGGTAAATGATTCCAAAAGATGCACTTGTGGGCAGGCCTGCAGGACATTCTAATTGATTAGTGGTTGGTGGGGGAGAGCCCCGCCCATGGTGGGTGGGGCTATCCCTGGGCTGTGACCCTGGGTTCTGTACTAAAGCAGGTGAGCAAGCCAGTAAGTAGCATCCTCCATGGCCTCTGCATCAGCTGCTGCGTGCAGGCCCCTGCCCTGTTTGGGAGCCTGTCCTGACTTCCTTCAGTGATGGGCTACACTGTGGAAACATAAGCCAAATCAACCCTTTCTCCTCAAGCTGGCTTTGGTCATGATGTTTTAACAGAGTAACAGTAACCTCAACTAGGGCAGATTTCCGTGCCCTCATCTGATCGACACGGGCACCAGGGCACACACGTGGTGCACAGACATACATGCAGGCAAAACTCACGCACATAAAAAATTACATAAGTAGGTTTAAAAAGAAAGAAAATTAAAATGTAGGGCTATTCTGGTTTAAAAAAAACAATGGGGGGGAGGGAAGGGAGGAGGTTGACAAAAGGTGTGAGTCCTGTGAGGCATTCGCCCTCTGTCTCTACAGCGCTTTCTACTGCTATAGTGGGTCCTCTAAACCACAGCAACATGTCAATGAGCCCTAATGTCACCACCCTTGAGTGTCTCTTTTAGGAGTTAACTAATTTCAGATGAAATCATGAAAGTGGAGGCCCATAGTGTCAAGCGTCATCTGTGTCCTCACAGGGGAGAGACAGCAACAGAGACTCTGCCATGAGAGGGCTTTGAGGGAAGGAGCAAGAAAGGAAGAGCCAAGGAGAGAATCTTCACCTCAGAGAGAAGGGGGAGAGCCTGGGAGAGAATCCTCACCTCAGACCTTCATGCTGCATTGTGGATACACATTTATTTTTAAATCCACTAAACTGTGGTATGCAGTCATGGCAGCCCAACCCATCACTTCAATTAACTAACAAAATTAGTCAGTATCATTCCTAATCCAGAGAAGAGGAGAGCTAAATACAGCTCCAAGGGGTTTTCACATTCAGTTAGCCACTTCGCTTTTCAGATGAGCAAGAATAAACAGTCATGAAACAGTAGTGGGAAACCAGCTCAGGAGCTTACTCTGGATACACACAGAGAGTCACCTTTAAAGCTTTAATGATCATCCCTTAAACAGGCCAACCATCTTTCTGCCAGGCTTCTAAAGAGGTCAGCCATGCTTGTGTGTAAAGAAATAATTTGTCTTTACCTGATAAGGATAGTAAGAAGGAAGAAGGGAGATAAAAGGCCTCCTGCAAGGAAATCATGAAATTTGCAGGCAAGTGGTGGGATCTAGAAAAGATCATTCTGAGTGAAGTATCCCAGAAGGAGAAAGACAAACTTGGTATATACTCGCTTATATAGACCTACAAGACATGATAAACATAATGAAATCTACACACCTAAGAAGATAATCAAGAAAGTGGACACAGGCGAAGGTGATTAATCCTCATTTAGAAAGACAAATGGGATGTGCATTGAACTTATGACAGGAGTCTACCACAAAAGGCATCTGAAAGACTCTACCTAGCAGTGTTTCAAAGCAGACACTAAGACTCATAACCAAACCCTCGGCAGAGTGCAGGGAATCATATGAAAGAAGGGAAGTTAGTATGATATGGAAAGGATAGGAGCTCTACAAGGACCAAATATATCTGGGCACAGGGTCTTTTCTGAGACTGACACTCAACCAAGGACCATCTATGGATATAACCTAGAACTTCTGCTCAGATGTGGCCTGTGGTAGCTCAGTAACCAAGTAGTTTTCCAAAGGATCTCAAGGGCAGGCTGTTTGACACCCCCCCCCCCAGGGGAAGAGCAGTCTGTTAGGCCACAGAGGAGGACTTTGCAGCCATCCCTGAAGATACCTGATAAAACAGGGTCAGATGAAAGGGGAGGAGGTCCTCCCCTATCAGGGGACTTGGAAAAGGGCAGGGAGGAGACCAGGGAGGGAGTGTGGGGTTGGGGAGGGAATGAGGGAGCGGGATACAGCTGGGACACAGCGTTAACAAAATGTAACTAAAAAGAAAAATAAAAAAAAATAAAAATAAAAAAAAATACTGAAAAAGAAAAAAAAAAAGGCCTCCTGCAGCTCTGTGTTTCCTGGACACACATGTCAGGTTCCTCCAAGACAAATGGTGTGATTGGGGTCCTAACAGCCTGATACATAGCACATTTTCAAATGAGTCAGGACGCAGTGACTCTCTCTGTATGGGTACCCAGTGGTAGACAGATATACAGATCAGATGAGAGACAAGTCTCCTCCTACATAAAGAAAATTTCCAGTTTCTTACAACCTACCAAAGGGCATTTTAAAGCAGTGTTGGGGGGGGGGCAGACCTGATAATGCAATTAATGCTCTGGGAAGAGCAGCAAGCATGGCCTCCAGGACTCACCCAACCTGTGAGGCAGAAGCAGAAGGATTGCTGCAGACTCAGGCCAGCCTGGGCTGCAGGACAAGCTCCAGGCCTGTCATATAAGAACTGTGGTTCTCCCTCAAAGGACCAAATGAGAGCAGAGGACTCGGAAACCCTGTGACCAAACATGGAGCAGAGGTCCTGGTTCTGCCTCCTCTCCTGAGGAGCCAGTCTTGCTTTGCAAGGCTCACCTCTTTTCCCTCTACACTCCTAAATGCACAATTCTCTCTCTCTTCACTCCTCCATTCCCACACACACATGATCTGAGGTGCTCAGCATTCTCCTTTTCTCTGTCTCCAATAAACTGTCTTCAAGTTCTCAGCTGTGTTCACTTTTCTATGTTTTTATCCATAAAACCAAGAATTTAGGAAGGGAACCTCTTGGCCCTGGCTACAGTTAACTCTATCTGTCACATCTACTTACTGATCTGATTTTAAAATATTATAGTTACAGATTAACAAATTTCAGTTACATATTTAAGGTATAAAAGAAATATAATTCATGAACAACTCTGTGAAATAATTATAACAAACTGAATAAGGTGATCTCCATCTCCACAAATAGACATCTTTTTATTGTCCCTATTTGAGATATATTCCTTGAAATGTGCAGTGTATTTTCTGGATTGAATGTGTTGTACAATTTATTTCAATAGAAAAGAATCGTCCTTCTCCAGTTTAGCAGAGTTTATACTCTCAGCACAAATGTGTCTCCTCACTCCACCCTGCCTCTGCCATCACCACTGTAAGCCATGCTGCCCAGAGGTCGGTTGTCTAATAATGCACAGGCTTGTGAACCCTGTGTTTGTCTTTCTCTGCTGGGATTATTTTACTTTGGGTGATGTTCCTCAAACATTCAGTTCTGTCCCCAATCTTCAGTTCTACCCATATTGCCATATCCCCCATTTTAAAGATAAGCAGCATTCCAGCTCCCAGTTTCCTCACCAGTTACCTGTGCTACACATTTAAGCTCCAGCCCTTGGTCACTATGTAAGATGCCCAAGTGAACATCAGACTGCAGGTGCATTTGGGGAAATTCTTTCAGGGTGTGTGTGAGTATGCACAGGGCAAATTCCAGGTCTAATTACTTCCTTAAGGCCACATTCTTAATGTTCAGCTGCCACCTCAACCCAACAAGGTTGTCGGGCCACAGGAGCTCATATCCCACAGAGTCAAACCCAGCTCCTAGTTACCCAGTCAAACAAAGGGCGAAGGCAATGCTGGACCCAAGCATGAGAAGTAGCTTCCGGCCTCCTGAACATTATTGCTGGTTTAATACTGACATTGACCCCGACAGTAAGTGAATAGACGATGGTGAGGAGTGTTTAAGTCCTGCTTAAGTTACTGCTGCTGTGATGAACACGATAAACCAAGCAACTTGGAGAGCTTGGAGTTCATTTGGCTTCATACACCAGGGAACAGTCCATCCCTGAGGGAAACCAGAGTGGACTTAAGGCTGGAATTGTAGGCCAGAATGGAAGCTGAGGCCACAGAGGAGAGCTTCTACTGGCTTGTATCTCATGGCTTGCTCAGCCTGCTTTGTTGTACAACTCACATTCCCAGGCCTGGCACGCCCAGTATAGGCTGGTCTTTGCTACATCACTCATCAACCAAGAATATGCCCACAGTCTTGCCTATGACCATTTTCTTAATTGGGGTTCATTTTCCCACAGGACTCTACCCAGTGCCAAACAGACAAAAAACAAACAAACAAAAAACTGACAAGCACACTAACCAAAAGAATCAATGGCTACTCAGGAAGCATGAAATAACTACACAAAAAGGCCACTTTCAAACAGTCTGACTTATTCTAACTCACTGGTAGCAGAGGAAGTGAAATAACTTGAGAGCATTTCACAAATTCTGAAAGCATATGAAGACACCACTGTCTTCAGCAGAAGGAAAGCTGTCCTTCTTCTGCATTTCCCAAGAACATTTCTTCCACAGGACTTCCGGAGATTACTTCTGAGTGCTTCCTGTGACAGTACTACACTGTGTCCCTGTGCTCTCCTTTATTCGGGCTTAAGACATGCCATGTCCACATGTCACAGACCAGACACTGGAAGGTTTGGAAAGGGTTCAGTCTGTGTTCTTCCGGGAGGTGACAAGAGGGCAGCCCAGAAACAGCTGCAAGAATCCACTCACTGCAGACCAAGATCAGATCCACACAGACAGGAACTCACACAGCATCCAATGGACTGAGTCTTATTTTCTTAGATCTCTCATTAAACAAGAGAGAACACAAGTTCAGGAGAAGATGTGGACAATCAGGAGCCCGTGTCTGCTGCTGTGAGAATATAAAATAGTGCAGAGGTGGTGGAGACAAGAAAGCCCTTCTGCAAATAATTAACACCATGACCATATGACTTGGAAATCCAGCTTTCTGTCTTAAGGACTGAAAATATCGATTCAAACAGACTGGCTGGCCCACTCAGCAGCAGCAGTCATATGAGCCAAAGGTGAGAGCAACCCGCATTTCCAGCCACAGACAAAGGAAGCAGCATGTGCACACATTATTCAGACAATTACTCTGCCTTACAGAGCCCCACACCTGCCACACTGTGCTGAGCCTGAGAAGATTAGCTTGTGGAAACAAGCCAGCTGAAACAACCGAGAACCATCAAAACAACGACAAGGCTCCAATTTATGATGCCATTTCAGGGGTCCTGTGTGTCATACTCCAAGACAGAAAGCAGAATAGCTGCTGCCAGGAAGTGGGAGTGATTAGTATGGGGAGTGTTCTTTCAGAGCTGTGGGACTCCATTTGGGAAGATGAAAACTTGCCCTAAAGTTATAGTGATAATCAATCTGCATGAAACAAACCTACTCCATACACTAAAGGTGGATAAAACCAGTTTCCTCCTGCTGGGTTGCCTCATCCAGCATCCACATGAGGGTCTGTGCCTAGTCTTACTGTAGCTTGTTATGTCATGCTTGGCTGATGTCACTGGAAGCCCTGCTCTTTTCTTAGGAGAGGTTGAGGGAGGGAGGCATATCTGAGGTGGGGGGGACTGAAAAGAAGGGGAAATACAATAGAGACATAATATTTGAAAGAAAATAAAAAGAATTGAAGAAACGTGAAATGTGTGTACAGTTTCTTACTATCCATGCACAAACATGTGGAAAAGTGATCCCTGTCTGTGCTTTCAGTGTACAGCACAGTCTACCACAGAATAAATGCTTACCTGTGCTTGTCACAAATTCCAGGTCTTAAAGGATTTATAAAAGATTGAACAAAATGACAGCATTTTCTTGAAATCAGGATCTGGGTTTGCTTACCTAGTCTCGACTTCAATACAATCATTTTTTAGCATCGAGAAAGTGATTCCTACAGCTGCTGCCAGGAAGTCGGTGATAAGCGCCTATCAAAAAGCAAATGGTGGAAAAAGAAAATTCTTCATTAGGACTAAAAGGTCTTAACATATTGGTCACTGTTTTAAGATAGATGGTTTCCCAATGAGAGCTACACAGTTAGATAAATACTAAGTTTAGGTAACAGTCCCTGGGAAAACAAAAAACACACATGTTAACAGATCTCCTGTATGTTAAACTGAGAGTTAAGGTCCTGCAGTCTGCGGCTCCAATAGCACAGGCCCAGGAGTAGCTAAGATTTTTTTCAGTGCCCCAGCAGGACCGGCCAATGTAGGGCCCATTTCAGATATGAAAACAAGGATGACACAGGGTGGGAGAGAATGCAGGCAACTTCAAGGTTGAGGATGGGAGGTTCAAGTTTGAAATTTAATTCCTGGGGCAACATGACTGTGGTCTTGGGTACAAGTTTAGACAAAGAAGTGGACAAGTTAAGACACACCAGCCTGCCCAGCCTTAGGGCACTGAAAGATATCTCTGCTTGGCAACCAGACCAGATGGCCAGCAGTCCCCCACCCAGATAGTCCTGCCTAATCAGCATATAACAGGACAGTCCAGGCACTGCGCATGATCAGATATTCCCCAGATGGCCAGACCACTGTGGCCCTGGTGCTTAAAACACACCTATTATTTTAAAGGTCAACTTCCCTAAAGACCCTCTTACCCAATCCTGTAATAAAAGGCTTGGACTTCCGGCTTGCGTTTTTTCCCTTTAAAAACCTTGTTCCCCTAGACCTCTGTGCCTCACTCCTCCTCTTCAACTAGGGAAAATGCTGCAACCTGGGCTTGAGCTTGTAATAAAAGATCACCATGTTTTTTCAGCAGAGTTGATTCCTAATTGTCTTTGTGAGTGTCACCAACTGGGTATAATATCTGGGGGCTGGTCTGGGATCCCCAAGACTCTAGGACCTGACTTAGGAGGGTTTTATGCAGGAGGTAAGTGTCTAAGTGTCTCTGTGCAGTGTGTGTTTGTGTTTTCTCTCAGTCCTGAAAAGCCTCAAGGTGTCTGTACAAGTGGCAAGACATGGCTAGGAGTGGATGCAGGGCCTTGGGGGATCAAGGAAGACATCCCTGGCCCTGAGGTGGACCAGGAATCCCACTGTCAATTACTCTGCTCCCTGGGTGTCTCTCAGATTCAGTGACAGGAATCTGAGAGTCCAAGCTTTTAGATCTATTTCTGTTTACAGTTGAGGAACAGCTACTTTGTTCACTTCTGCCTTTCAATTTTGTTCCTTGTGTCTGTGTGTGTTTGTTGGACTGTGGGACTGTGACAAACACTATAGGAAAGACTGCTTCTAACTCCCTAGACTTAACTCTTGCCCATTTTGGGGGGACCCTGGTCTGGCAGGTCTCTGCCAAGATTTGGTCTCTGCCACTGCTCCAGTCTCTGGTGCTAAAGGGAGTCAGGTTGCTTGGGAATGCAGCCCAGCCAGGGAGAGGCTTCT